GGACTTGCCTGGGATACAGATAAGCTGTAGGTGCTATAATGGATATTTAATGCAATAAATCCCAGAAGCTGAGATATTGACTGCTGGTGGCTCACAGAGGCCCTTATGGAACTGTTCTCCACTGCAATAGAATACTACTTCACCCCAGTTTATTTGTCTCCCCTCTTTCCAATCAATGGCTGGCCAGCTGATGCCAGGATACAGGTCTGGTCCCTCACTTTAGAACCAACTCTGAGGGGCAACCCAGCTCCAGGGCTCCCCATACCATCAGCTGAGACTTCCGTTGCAATGATGTCATGGGACAGCCTCTCCCTCTGCCCACCCTGCTTTCCTCACTTCCTCACAGATGAAGTATCTTCAGAGAGCACTCCCTAATAAACATGTGATCATAACTCCATCAGAATGCACTTCCCCAGAATCCAGACGAAGATTTTAGATAGCTATAGATTTTTTAAAAATGTCTGTCCATTACCCTGGAATTAGTAAGATCTAAATATGAATAAAAAAGTGCTACAAACTAACATTCCAACTTGTAAAGAACAATGGAAGTTGTGCCAAGCCACTTCCCTACAGGGTTTATAGAGAGAAGGCATTTCAAAGAAACCCAAGCCCCATTTTCCTGTCCCTGACTAGTACAAGAGGAAGACTAGGAAAGAGGAAGTGCTGCTTGGAGACAACAGTTTTCAAGATAAACACTATTTTTTTTGACGAGGTGGAAAAGAATTTCTCCCAACCAACAGAACAAATCAGAAAATCATGAGAGAGTTGCTCATAAATTTTGAAGTGTGCTGGAATGGTCACCCACAACTTCTCCAAGCTGAAGACTTGTGTGAAGCTTGGCAAGCCACTGAACCCACTGGGTCTGAAGCTCACTCTCCATGGAGACAGGGGCAAGGTGGTGGGTGCAGTGAGGAGCAGCAGCGAAACAGCCTGCACTGCTCTTACTTGGCAGGTAATGGGACTCCTGGTAGCTGAATGGCACAAGGAAAGCAGCTGGCCTTTGAGCCCCTTTGTTGCTGTCCCATCCAACAAGATCATTCCAAAGACAGAACATTCTACCATGTGAGGTGCATCTCCAATTCTAGGGATGTTGAAAAATCCCCAACTGCACTCCATGAGAGTCAGCATTTGGGGCGACGTGTACTAAGCAGGCAGTGCAAAGGAGCTCTATCCCTGCAGAAGCGTTTGGGTAGGAAGATTACCTTCTTCCATCTTTCTCTCAGTATCATTATCAGAGAGGAAGGCAGAGAAGTGGGAAAAGGAACGTGAGAAGCTGCCCACCACTTCAGCCATGAGAGCCACAGAGGTCTTAGCTGCACTAGGGGATGGAAAGATCCCACACAGCAGAAGGTAAGGGATCAGCATCACCGAGTTGGCAGTAGTGGTAGCCAATCAACAACGACAACAGAAAACAACATTCATATGAGTGAGATTCCTCCATAAACCTGGTAGATACATACACTTCAACCTTTTTCCGCACCTTGCATTATGCTGTATTAGGTGTTAGGGATGAAGTAATGAGGGAGAAAGGTGTGGTTCCTAACTCCTTGGAGCACATACTCCCTTGTCTTTCTCTACTGGTCTCTGTCTGTCTTTGAACCACGATTGTCTTTTCTCCGTGTGACAGACTATTCTTCTGAGAAAGTTAAGGCATCATCATTCCATTAATTATTCTGTTAATTTTTTAAACATCACAAGAAAAACTTCCACAGTACACATTTTGAGAGAAGCAAGGCTCTTTCTTTGAGCACTATACATTAAAGGGCTGCCAACATTCTTTTCTCAACCACATTTCCCAAAAACTTAGCACTTGGGCATAAAATGTAATCCAGTCTAAAATTTGGCATGTCAGACAGCAAAGTATTCAAATATGCCAATTTGGCTAACACCTCCTTTTTGAATAACAAGTAGAGAAATGGAAAAAAAATTGAAGTGAAATGCTTTAAATCATGGCATTATTACGAGATAATTCATTTTATGAGACAGCAAATCTATAAAAAATTAATCCTAAATTATGGTAGATTTTTTTCAGGTAGGTTTTTACAAAAGCTTAAAGCCTGTACAGAAATATACTACCCAAAGTAATAAATAATATAGCCTGCCTCATAGAATTGTAGTAAGATGCCCAATTCTATTGAAAAATCTTGTTTTCTTATTTGCCCATGATTGCTTAATATCGTAAGATATTTCGGACTAAAGCAAAAACAAAACAAAGATCTGGGAACTATAAAGATATATACACATGTCATAAACTCTCTTTCTCCCTCTATATATAGGGTGGGGCAAAAGTAGGTTTACAGTTGTGAGTATGTGAAGCACAGTATTAATAAAGCTATTGTAGTCTGACCTGCATGGCTCAGAGGTTGAATGTCGACCTATGAACCAGGAGGTCACAGTTCAGTTACAAGTCAGGGCACATGCCCAGATTGTGAGCTCAATCCCCAGTGTGCAGGAGGCAACCAATCAATGATTATCTCTTATCATTGATTTTTCTCTTTCTCCCTCTCCTGTCCTCTCTGAAATCAATAAAAATATATTAAAAAATAAAGCTATTGTAATAATCATAACCTGCATGTCTTCTTCCATATGAACAACTATAAACCTATATTTGCCTACCCTGCTTGTACACACACACACACACACACACACACACACACTCACACAAATGTGTATGTACATAGTACTAGAATATTTGTCAAAGGGCTTCCTGGAGGCTATTACCAGTTTTTTAGATACCATTATAGGCATGTGGGATTAAGGTATCCTATTAATGGCTATCCCTTGGGTAGTTGGGCCTAAGGTGCATGTCCATAGAGACGGAATAGTGCTGGTTCTGTAAGCATCATCTGCTGCATGGGTTTTTAGAAGTGGTGATCAAGAGAATTTCACAGAGAAAGCAATGTAGAATAAGTATGTGTTATGACGATATGCCTTCAGTATGAAGAGGATTCTGTATATGGCAATGACCACATTTTCACCATCTTTCCTGTCTCCTATCCTTTCTGATAAAAGAAATCACTATTGCACTTCACAGGCTCCCCACATCAAACTATTTCACAATTGGATATCTCAGAAAATATCATCTTGTCATTCCCATTTGCAAAAAGAAACCATGTCATTCTATTCCTGAGTAATCCTGATTTTGCAAAAATTGATAAAAATCATGTGATACAGATCCCCACATTTCATACAAATACAGTAGCATTTGCCTGAAATTCCATCCTGATGTCAGGGGCCCACCAATAAACCCCCAATGACCAAGATTAATGGCACAGACACTGAATTCTCACTGTGATTTTCCAAATCCCTCTTCAAAGAAACACATTTGACACAATTCTCTTGTCACTTCAGAATTATAAATCCTAATTTAGAAGCTACACATATTGAACTAATGATTCAGGAAGCATCTTTTCAAATGAGCTCTGGGCTCATTTGTTTTGAAAGAACAACCTTCAGATTCCACATCATAGAGTCTTGAGCTTCTCAAGTTTTGCTCATCAAAAGCCATTATTTCATGTGCACTGCATATGCAACACATGCCCTAGAACAGCAATCTTGGAGGGAAGGTTTCGTGACTTCCTGAGCTCGAAGACACAGCTGTCTCTAGAAGTCTTGACAATATCCATTTATATTACATCAGAACAATAGAAAGATGGAATCTCTACACAGTAGTAGACCTTTAGAATCATATTGGAGATAAAGAGCCAAAGCTGTCAGTTTAATACCAGGCTCATTTAAAAGCCAACGGGCCCTAATGTTTGAGGATAAATAGGGAAAGAAATTTCCACTACTGATACTTCAAAGACTTTGCAACATCTGGAATTTGGTTCCATACAGAGTATTCCACTAAGAAGTCAGTATAAAAAAGCTCTTAATAGGGCAAACAAGATTCAGGTTTCTTGCAATATGTTCTCCTTGGAGGGAAACAAATAACACAATGCATCTGACTAACCTTTCTGCACTTCAGCTGCATTAATTAACATTTAGTCATGGATTCCACTGTGAGCCAGATGAACTCAGTGCTACAGCTGTTTTCATTGAGGAGAAAAATATGCTTTCACATTTCAGATTCCCAACATTTATAAATCTGGGGGAAATATTTTGTTGACTGCCTCTGTGCCAGCTTTATTGATATGCATTACATATTAGTCACCCAAATAAATTAAAACTCACCCCTAGTCTATGAGTAAATCAATGTCAATAGCACATCAACTGGGTCATTCAGAGCCAATGCTACAAAAAGTACATCCCTCTCTTTTTCTTACATTAAGGATTAAGGAAGGGTTAAAAAACTCATCCAAAAAGTAGCTGATGGCCTTGAAGAAATTGTTGCTGGGTGAGTTAAAGGTTTAAGTGAAAACCAGGTACTCTGAGAAGGATGAATGAAGATGACTAGAAAATAAAATGAACAGATGTTGAAGAAATTTAACTGCAGGATCTGATAACTTGGCAGAGGCATCCTCAACTTTACAAGCCAAACATATGGAAGTGGTTGGTTGGGAACAAAGTTGAGGTACAGAACTGCAACATTTTGTTAGTTGTTGAAGGAGGTTTTTTCCTTTCTTTTGTTTTTATAGCAAAGGCTTCTTTACAATGTCATTTTATGAGGAAATTATGGCAGTAAATCAGCTGGACAATGCAGTCTACCTGTAATACCTTGCTAAAATTTTCATATTGCAAGAAACTTGTCTCCAATAGTGTCTTAGCGATGTTGTGTCTTGACTTCTGGTCACTCTGGAGTCTGTGGACAGATGGATATCCAATAATCACATAGCCATGTGTTTTTTTTGTGTTTGTGCGCGTGCTAATGTTCATTTGTATCAAGTGTTGAAGCCTGGAGTCATTATCTCTGTAAATAGGAACCAAATATGATACTTGCCTCCTCAAATTAATGTTCTCTTCATGCTTGACAATTTTCAATCATAAAGGCTGTCTGACTTGTTTTCACCTTTACCAATATGGAACAGCAATAATGCAATCAAACCAGAAAACCATCTTACCTGGAACTACTTCAAAAAGGAATTTCCCTGGACTCTCTTCATTGCAGGGATGTTCCAGGACTTTATTTCCAGGCAGAAAAATGGCACCCTGTGAACACAAATGCCCCAAACATCAACATCATCAGGTGGCAAATATTAAATAGTATCATCATGATAACCATCATCAGTGAATAGTCAAGGTGCATCTATAACTAGGGTATCGTAACATGCACCTGACTCATTTATATTCCCAACTAATCAAAAATCATGTAACAGAATCATATTCATTCAACATATAACAAATTCTTGTTGACCATCTAATATGTATGAGATAGTGTTAGGTACTAGATCCATTTTAAGCACCAATGTATTAAATGCATTTCTGCATGCCAAAATTTTTACTAAACATTCTATCAACCTATTAATTGTTAGAATAATCTTATGAGGTAGGTATATTTTCCCCACCTATAGTTGTGAAAACCAAGGCAGAGACAATAAATAACTTAGTCAATGTTACCATAGCTTTCTCTTAATTATCCGTTCTCTTTCCTGTTAAATTTCTCTCTCTTTAGCAGATCATTCTCATGGTTCTGAGACATGTTTAAAAGTTTATCCTATTAAATAATTTAGACTCCAGCTCCCCCTCCAGCTATCATCTTTTTATCCCCTTGCCTAGCATAGTTATCTACACTGAATCTATATCCTTGTATGTATCCACTGCACTCTAGTTTGTGCACCCATAATTCCAATCACATGATTCTCACAAGCTTCATGCTTGACAATTTTCAATCATCAGTGAACTTGACTTCCCAGGAGCTTTCAGCACTATTAACCATGCTTTCTTGAAGCACCTACTTTCCATGGCTTCTTGGTATTTTTCAATGATTTTTTAAAATTACTAAATACATTGCAAATATTCAGCATAATTAAGACCTTTCTTTTATATATAGGTTTGAAATCTATATGATTTCTATAAAAAGTGATAAGATCAGTTTTTTCAATTACAAGTTTATTTTACTTAATTAAATGATCTTGTGAAGTAATTAAATTTGTGATTTAACTTAGTTTTAGAACATAGCATCGAACCTTCCAGGTAGATACAATATTCATTTATGAATGCAGGTATGTGAATATGTGTGTCTATATATCTCCTGTTTAATTCTATGCCTTTTGGCTCTGCTTGGGATATTAAACTGTACATGTGTTTTATAAAGTAAATTCAAGCCACTCTCCTGAATAAACAATTCTCCTGCGCGCTCCGCCCCCTCCCAGGCCACCAGATCTTCCCTCCACTCATTGCTCTATTCTGTACCTCAGGAGACAACTCTTTATAAATTCCAAAAAAACAGGCTGCAGGTTGGGTTTGACAGGCCATAGCAGGAGGTCAGAAGACAAGATAATTATTGACTTGTCTTCTCCATGTGAGGCAGCAATTTGGCCCTAGTTCCCTGGGCAGCTGCCTTAGTCCACATATCCTTAAACTTGTAGGCTCCTTAAGGTTCCTGTAGAGCTAAGAGTGGTAATGGGTTCCTCCCTGTTTTTAGCCCCAGGATGTTTTTCACTGTCTGTTAGTTTCTATTAACCTTTGCAACACTTTGTCACAAACCCTCCAATTACTACTTTTGAGGTGGAGACATCAATTTCTTGCTGGGATCATAAGTGACAAATAGCCAGGGCACAAGTACGCTGTGTTTTCTAAGAAAGAGCAGATTACCCCATGATGTTCAATATGCCTCACGACAAATGATCAGAATGAAGAAACTCGGGAATAAAAAGGGATGTAAACTTTATCATAAGAATTCAATACATATGGTGATAATTACATGTCAAGAATTAATCAGCATATTCAGAATGAAATCATACTTATTTCTATCCCTCCTGGGGACTATTCCTTTTTATAAAGAATCTTTAAAGTTTGAAAACGGGATACTATGTTAAACAAATTATTTTATACTTTGACAGCTAAGAGTTGGCAAAAGAAACAGAATTCAAACCACACTAGTATTTTGTTTTCAGCTAACATTGCTACTAGAAAAGAAACTCATCTCTAGTTAGTGTCAGATCACCGAACCCAAACCACAGGACTTGGGGGTAAGGCTAGATGATGTTGAAAATAAGCAGGGTGATCTTATTCTCTGACATTTGGATTGGAAAATGTATTCATGTGCAGTAGTTGTGTCAGTTGCATAAGCACAATGATGAGATATTCTTTCCAGCATGAACAATGATTATGAGCATCACTTGGAACTAGGTGAAGTCTGAGCTTATATAAAAATATACATTAAAATATGCATATTTATAATGCAAATAGACTGATGTTTAATAAAATGAGGGCAAGGTGAAAGAAATATTATTCAACCATGTTTATTTGAGTTATGTAAGTTGGTTTGATTTTTTTCTTTGTCGCAAACAATTTCATTAATCTATTCAACAAATTTGTATTAAACAACACCTAGTATGCACCAGGCCTTATCCGAGGCACAGAGACTATAATAGTGAGAAAGTCCAACAATGGCCTTTCTTGCATTTCTGGATTTTAAAATCACTCAGGGAAGGCAGAAAACTGAAAAAAAATACAGATAAGCCCCCAATATGAAAAGAAAACACATTACATATGATTATGAAAGAGCTCTGGCCACTTAATAATCAACCAATCATGATGAAGTTTGTGTTCAGTAAATCTATTCTGGAGCTGAGCTGTCTAGGCTCAGATTCCCACTCTATACCCATTGGTGAAGTGACTTCAGGCAAGATACCCATCCTCTCTATTCCGCAGGCTCTTCATCCTTAAATTGGGATAAAGGTAGAACCTACTTCATAAGTGTGAACAGACTAATACCCATGTAGTTTGTAGAAAAATGCCTGATACAGATTATTTTAGCTGACAAAAGATTTTTTAGTATTTTTAATACTGACAAAAAATATATTTCTTCTATTCCAGAAGGCTCAAAGATATTTTAGGCCCACATTTTTTCTAACCCCCAAATGATGAGGCGATTCTATGTGTATAGATTCTATACATATCCGCTAGTATTATCATCTAGTTGAGTAAACTAATTAGAAATGTTGAAGTCAATTTTTACTGACCATCATGTTTGAAAGGCTAGACTAATCAAAACAAACAAACTTCTAATTAACAACCATAATAATATATAGCATAGCATAACGATGTTGATAATGGTGATTGCTAATGTTATTCATTGTTAAACAAATGAGTATGCCATTATATCATTAATTCACTCAGTGACTCTGTGGCATAGGTATCTCTCACTTTATAGAGGAGGAAAATACAGCTCACGGAGCACCTAACAAAAAGCCTGGCATTGTGAACTCCTAACCTATTTGTTTGAACAAAAAAGGGAAGGAACAAATGAATGCAAGCTGCTTTAAGGATTTTATCTTTAAGTATTAACCCAATTTATGTTCTTATTTCTAACCAATGACTGCTATTGAAAAGAGTTTGAAGTTTTATAGTTACCAAGTTTCTTCTTGCCCTCTGAAATTATTTACTCTCATACCTGGGATGCTGCCAGAAAGACAAGAGAGGGGAAACTTGCAAATTGGTATAATTTCTGAATTAACCAAAGTAATTCTGGTGTGCAAACTGGGGAATACTAACCTAAACATTGTTTTAAGCTGTCTTTTAGAGAAAATAGCATGATATTGATATCATGTGCAAACTTTGCAATGTACTATTTTTTCCTCAGCTAATAAAACACATAAGAGCAAGTAATACACATAACATTGTCCAACTGTTATTTAAATTAACAATGACAGACATAATAGCATGAAGTTATTTCTGAATAAATAGAAATAAACTCTCTATAGAGATGTCTCATTTTGCTGTTTTTTATTATAAACTGCAAACTTAGCACTTGAGAAGCATTTGTCATTCTGGGTTCAATTTAATTTTAAAACAATATTTGCATAATATTACATATGTTCAGATCCTAAGAAGCTAACAGAATGCCACTAATTGTGATGGAGAAAAGTATGTACAGTGTTTGGATGAAATTATTTAAAAGCTTTTAACGCTTATTTTCATACACAAGGATCCTGTACCCCCTGTGAACTCTCCCTCTGGACAGAACAGAAGTACATGAAATTCCTTCCAGAGTCCTTCTGCGCTAACAGTTTCCCTGGGAACATAATCACCACCATTCTAGCTACATTTAAGTCACTTCTATTTGACTACATGTTTTTGATTCCTTGGAAAATGGGCAAATTCCTTGACTGTGGAGGAAAAAACAGATTAGATATATGGGAAAGGAAGGGATTATTATTCTAAAACCAAAATTCTATAATCACACTCAAAATGTGTAGAGACCTTAGAAATTACCTTTCTCAGGCTTATCTAACATATGAATCTCTGTAATACGGAAGGCATTCTGAACTTGCTCAAACCATCTCTTATTTCCTTTCTTAAGGTGTCCCATGCCATTTTGAAAGATTGCAATTGGGGAAAAAAAAACACTCAAATGTTGATACAAAATCCATCCCCCCAACAATTTCTACTCCACATTCTTCCCTTCAGAGTGAAATCCCCCTTTTCTGTCTTGGATCATCACAGCCAATTTCTACTGAGAATTACTATGTGCCAGGACTGTGCTGTACACTGTTATCTTCTGAAACCCTATGTGAAGGGACGATTATAACTATTTTACAGAAGGAGTGCTGAAGCATAAATAAGTTGAGTAGCTGCAGCTGGTAAAGCACAGACATAGAATTTGACCCAAGTTCCCTTCCGAAGCCTGTATATTCCTAATGTGAGAGGAAGCTACAGTGTGATTTATTGATTCATTCACGTATTTGTTTATTCATCAACCATATATGTAATAGGTATTATATATTGAGGATGCCAAATACTTAGGAAAAAATGAAACTGTTAATGTAGGTCATCCTTGAATAGCCAGGTCATAGTTTTATTTTGCTAAGTTTTTCCTATTTTTTAAAAATTTCAATAATGAGCACCTATTACTTGTTTAATAATAAAAACATACGAATATATTTTTAAAGCAAATAAAAATGACAGAAGGAGGCAAGGTTGGATGGGGCATTTCGTCATCTCAAAATTAGGCTTCTGCCTTGAAATAAAGACTGTGGAAGGCA